CATGCTTTCTCTGCTGAGGCAATTCACCTCAAATGCTTTATCCGATGGTTTGTCTACTGTAGCAGTTGCAAAAGTAGTAGCAAGGCAGAGTTGTTCTTTGTGGGGATACTCACTGGACAAATTGCATCTATCATAATTTGCCACTGGAAATAGATCTCAAACCCATCCTTTGGGATCGCTGACTAGCATAAACTTGTGTTGCGTTATACTTTGTATGTTGACTTTGTGACCTGCCCGATATGCAACAGCCACTTGAGGTAAAGCAGTTCTATCTGCCTTCTGACTGGCAGTGCCCTTGTCTTGTCCTCTAACTTAATACAGTGTTCCTAAGATAAGAGCATTATTTCTGGTCATAAGCTCTTTGGACTTGTGCAGGGAAAACACACTTATTTTTAACCATGAGTTGCTCTTCAACAAAATGTGATTAGGTGGGCTTGTTCATACACGTCCAGTCCAAGAGCAGTTCCTTAGCTTGTGGAGTTTCTGGAGCAACTCCTCAGCTGGTACAATGCCATCCTTTCACACACTTCTGAGGGATTACCTCACTTTACGTCAGCTTAGAACCTAGGCCAGTTATTGTTGAAGACAGTGTTAAATTTTCCCTTGCCAGAAGTGCTCAGAGCAAGGTACCCTCTCTCCAAGAATTATGTTTCTCCCTGATATGATGTCCTCGTTTGGGACTGACAAAGTGAATGAGGTGAACCTCAGTATGAGAACTGGCCTTTAGAGCATTTGTCTTCTGAAGAGAATCCTGAGGAAGGTGTCAGAGGATGAAGGAATAGCTTATTAAAATTAATTCTGTGTGTAATATATACAGGGTACAGTTCTGCATTTGCTTGCAATATGGCAAATGAGTAAGTGAGGAAGATGATGAGTTGTGGCAACCAACTTTTTTCTAATCTGGGAGCCATATGCTAACGTAGGACGTGATTGTTCCGGGCAACCAGAGGCATGCACGAAGGGTAAAACATACTGCTCTTGCAGATGAGTACCTTGTACTGCCTTCACTCTCCATTTAGGCCTGGTGTCCTTAAATAAGGAAAAGTCCTCCAAGATATGAGGAGAGAAATAACAATCTTATTGAAACTCCATGGACATTTTTATTTCTTCTGATGCATTTGAAAACTGCCTTGCATGCAAAACTGAGGGTGTCCTTCCATATGTATGAGAGTTAACAGCCAAATAGAAACATGCTGCTGGGTGGGTGTGTTACAAGCTCTCTGAGGCCTTGACTGCCTCAGAATTACTACAGCACATTTCCTTGGTGCTGGCAAATGTGGTATGTGAGACTTTTTTGAGTACTAAGTTGCAATTAGAGACCATTGCAGTTGGAGGAGGAAAGGGCCCTTATGGATGTTCCTCATGAGAAGAAATCACATACTTTGTTCTGTGTAGAACAAAGAAAGTCTATGACTGCTATTTATTTCTAATTACATTCAGAGTATTCTCATCTCAGCCAATTCCAACCATCTAAAGATGGAAGTGGCTCGCTTTCAGTAGTATATTTATCACAAGAAGTCAGTTTCCAAAGGAATTAACAGATATGAAATATATAAATCCAATTAAAACTCTTTAATGTATAATGTCTGGGTGCCTGTGCTCCAGCATCCACACAAAGGATTCATGGTATCCACCTGGAAGAGAGCCAAAGGTAAACCTCATCAAATCCAGGTTCACATCCCATTTTCCCTGTAGTGCAATAATCCTCAGGTATCCCCTGATTTGTAAAGGAGTTTGCTCTGGTCTGCGAGTATGGTGTTATCCTTATAGTTTGGCTATGGATCCTGACTTCCCAGCAGTTTGGATCTGGCTCAGTGGTGGGGTCAGGATTTGGTTCAAGTCTGTTTCTACTGCTGAACTGACACAATTTCTCTTTCCTGGGTTGTTTTACTTGTTTCATTAAGCAGAGGAGGAATTAATCAAGAGTAGCTCTCTTTCGGATTTGAGAATATATCCCTAAAAGAGATTTATGATTTTTTTAAAATAATAATTTGCATTTTTTTCTTTCTGTTGTCATTTCCTTATAGTTTTGTTTTGAGTACATGGCTACAGTATACATAATTCCAATAAATTTACTTTGACAGATAGATGTCTTCATATTTTTTCTTTTCACAATTTGGATGAATCTATCTTCTAGAATCAGATTTATGAAACCAGTACCTGTTGTAAAATTTCTTTTCTCCTAATGTTTTGCAATACTGGCTGGAAATTATATTTTGCCAAATATTCTTGCCAGTAAATTTATTTCTTAAAGCAAGAAACATTTTCTCTATGGACAAAGTTGGACAAGAAAGCAAATACAGAAGGGACATGAGTTGAATTACTCTTTGAATAGGAATAAAAAATAAGAGTTTATTTATAGGATTTTACTGTATCCCCCATTTCTAGAAATCAGACATCTGATGATGACCAGATGCATAAAGGAACTGCAGAGGTGAAGGGAAACATCATCACCAGATTATTTGAAAATGACCATGTATAATTACCAAAACAAATTATTCATTGGTTTCATTTCATCAATTTTACTGTCAAAATAAAAAGTAATTAGCTCTAATTTAAAGATACCATTTCCCCCCTTTTTTCTGATTTTGCAGTCTTCAGAGAAAAAGCCTTTTAAAGAGGTAGAAGATTTGTGAAAAGAATTTTTGGACTTTTCACATTAAAAAAATACCAAAGAAACCACTTTGATTTGATCAAAAGTAGATAATTACCTTGGAGCAAGTTTTTATTATTTTTGTGCATTTCACTTAAAACCCCACACCTCTTACTATGATGTAGCATTAGTGTTGTTTCTTAGAGCATTGCACACAATTGGAAAAATAACAAATGTTTTGACATTTTAGAAATTTTTGTTCTATATTTTGGAAAAAGTCAAGTTGAGTGAAAAGATGCAGTGTTGACAAGTTTTACTAGGTTAAAAAAAAAACTTGTAGTGCAAATTGCATTTTTCTGCATTTTTGCCAGACTGAAATTTTAGAAAAAAATAACCAGTTCTACTGAGGATCTTATGTAAAAAGCTGCAAGCATGTCTTCAGAACAGGGATGTGATTCAGTGAGATTCCACGTCAGAGTAGATGCTTCAGTGTTTAGTGGCAGCATTGCAAGGTTCTTCAGTGTTTAATACCAAAAAGGTCCAATGTGCAAAGCTGATTTTACTGTTCAAGCCACTGCAACCAGCATCTTAAAATGGAAATTTATCCAAGATGCAATAATAAAGGACAGCAACTGGCAAATAATAATATAAAGACAGACATAAGGAGAAGTATTTGGGAAGTATTTCCAACAACAACTTGTCATGAAAATTAGCCTTGCTGTGAAAGACTTTTTCACCCTTTTTGCTATTTTACCAGCTTTGTGTGTTGCAGTGCAAACGTCAGGCATTCTCTCTCTTTGCTTGCAGGGTCAGCTTTTACAACATCTGATAACCTGTCTCTCAGTTCCTGGGTATCCTCCTCAACCAGTTTTCCTGGATTTCAGCATCCACAGTCTTTGAGTGCCCTGGGTACCAGCACTGCATCCATAGCTACACCCATTCCTCATCCAATCCAAGGATCTCTGCCTCCATACAGCCGCCTGGGAATGCCTCTTACACCCTCTGCTATAGCCAGCTCCATGCAAGGTAGTGGCCCCACTTTCCCTTCCTTCCACATGCCTAGGTACCACCATTATTTTCAGCAGGGTCCTTATGCAGCTATCCAGGGACTGCGTCACTCCTCTGCAGTGATGACGCCATTTGTATGACTGATGTAAGACAAGAGAAACATGAGATTTTAAACCTGCAAGTTTGGTATGAAACATACAAGGTACCTTCCTGAAAGGCCTGTGGCAAGAGTGCTGAACTCGTAACAAACCAGCTAAGAAAATGCATTATGGATATAGATTCCTCCGTTGAGGGATCACAGGAAGCGAGCATGCAGCTTGAAGCTGCTCACAGATCTATGTGTAACACAGTCGAAATGGATCCCAAAGTTCCCAGGACTTTTGGTCGCGTGCAGCTTGTTCCAAAGGTGCATTATACCTTGCGGAAAGAGATTATGTTTATGCAGCAAGGTACAAATTAATTGTGTATAGGTCTTTTTTCATACGCTAGAAGACTTCTGAAAAAGGCAATACTCTTACGCATCTTCATCTCTTCCTGTGACTGATGAACATCTAAACAGAAAAAATGTATTGCTATAACTTTGAGCATGTTTTAGGCTATTTCAGCATACATTTGATGGGAATGGGACAAAGCAGAGAAGGCCACTGTCCTTTTTAAAAGACTGGCTTATATTCATGAAAAGCAGTATTTCTTAGTTGCTACTATAATCCCAAAGAGAAAATTATTAACAAGTCTTTGTTGCTTGCTTTCTTTCTTTCTTTCACAAAATACTATCAGTTCCAAAAAAGAACTGTGTTACAGGACTGTAGCATTAATGATGTATTCTGTCCTTCAGTCTAAAAAAAAATTTGTCCTATGTCCTAGGAGGAGCAATTTAACCGTCTGTTAAGGTATGATGAAGGAAAATGTTGATTTGGGAAATTTCGTTACTTAAACTAAGAAACCCAAGATATCAAATCAATGCTTGTTTGCTGCTGCGCTTGCCACTGAAGACCTGTTTCTAGCTGCACATGTGTACCAAGATAATTGAATTTCAGGCTAGATCAGCCTATAGACTTTCTAGATCAAACTATAATCAGTGGACTGGTATAAGATAAGTGGCATTAGAGTAGCCTTCTACTTGTTCTGATTTTTCTTGGGTTTGGTCACGGCTGTTGTTACACAAGCTGTTTGGCCAGGAAAATGGGGGTTGTACTGTCTGTTTTTCCATGTCCCAGTAGAACAGTGGAGTTTCCTTGTGAAAATATCAGTGCAGAACTTCACATGTAATTTTTTTTATTCATATCTGCCTTTTTTGAGTTAGTAATTAGGGTTCTCATTCAAAGTACTGTCCACTTTTTCTAGTATGTTATGTCTGATGCAACAGAGGAACTGTAGAGGTATAAGAAAAATTGACCTCTCTGCAGAGAGCTAGCATGAATGCTTTGCACTGCTGAAAAGAGTACCAGTGCGATGCTGGTTTTCTGCATGGCGGGAGCTGGGATTTCACTGTAAATAAGAAGTCAACACAGTTTCTGTGTAGAGTTGCATCCAAGTTATAGATAACACATCTACTGATAAAAAAAGAACTAGCAATCCAATCTCATATATTAAGATCTGTGTAGAGCTGGAACACAGAATGGAAACCAGACTTTTTTGGCACCATTCTCCTCTACTTTTAACCAGTGTGTGGTGGTATCGTACGGTAAGAAGCAGAGTGCAGTACATTGAGTCACCTATCTCCCATCTCAGTGAAGTGCAAAGCAAGTCTGTCTTTTTTTTTGTCCCACTGCCTTGTCTTAAATGCCCAATCACACAGAGCAATGACAACCTCCCAGGCTTTTCCCAGTTTGTACTGTAGGCCAGTACTTGCATCCCACAGATAAGGGGCATCTTTATGTATTTCCCAGTAGTTGAATTTAAAATCTTGTCAAATTGGCCATTTCAATTACCTCAGTTATCTGCACTATCATCCTAATTTCCCTTTACTCACTGTTGGACCTGCTGGTAAAAAATGACCTGAGGCAATTTGCAACTTTTGTGCTCTGTATGTGAATGAAAATGAACTTTTATTTACAGTTTCTGGGTTCAGAGCTAGTACAAGGATTTCCATAAATGCATATAATAAGTCAAGCTCTGCAGTATTTAAATGGTTTAAAATCAGGCACTGAATTTGGCTTTGATGTATCCAAATATTAGATTTTGCTCCAGTCTATCAGATTCACCTGAACAGTGCACGTTGCAAGGTTGTGCCTATTAATGACCTGTTTTGATATAAACCCCCTATTTTTCAGGAAATTAGATGATCCTGGTCCCACAACAACAACAACAAACTCTTCAAGTTCATATATGATTCCACAGAAATGAGAATTTCAGGGGATATTTGGAAAAAAATTTTAATCCCTCTCCAGTTTCTTGACTTCTCTTAGAGTTGCATGAAGGTCCTATGATGACGTGCACTAAACCCTGTGGCAAAATTCTATTTCTTTTATCTGTTTCCCTCTGCAGCTCCATTAACTTATCTGGAGTTGCAGGGGATATGCTTAGCTTCAAAACTCAAGCCAGTAGCTTTAATGCTGATACTCCCATCAGAAAATGGTCAAGTAAGTAGGCAGCTTTCACATGACTCCAGAAATAAGTCTGGAACAGGCAGGCCAATTTAGACATGCTTTACAAGTCACATAATGCCTGCTTATACATTGACCTGTCCTTCCCTCATGAAGCAAATTCAGAGAAATAAACTGTACAATCTCTTTAGCCCTGTCCCACTCCCTGTTCTGAAAACACCAATATTTGGCATGCAGAAATGCCCCTTATACTGTTTCAGAGAAAATTCTCCAGGCTCTTCCTGGAGAATGAAACTGAGTTTTGACAACATCATTTACAAAAATATTAAATGAAAGACAAGTGCTTTTCACTACGAATAAAATGCGATTCATATCTGAAAAAATATGGCAGCAGACTGTCCCTATATAAAAACATGATAAAGCCAACTCCTCATCCAAATTCTCTGTGACGAGTTTCATATTGTAGATGATGCAAAACTATCTGTTAAAAATCCACAGCTTGATTTTTCCAGTCAGAGCAAGTCTCTCTCCGTGCGCTCATCCCTCCCCACACTGCTCTCTGGCATATGCTGCTCTCTGATGGTTTAATTCCTTTGCATCAGAAACCCACTGGGTTCCCCACTAATGCAGAGTCACGGGCAGGTCCCAAGCAAGGGAATGAAGGCAGCTTGTGAGAGCCTTCCCCAGGAATAAGGTCAATAGGTATGGCCAGTTCTCACCTCCTCTTCTTCGCTCTCACAATCCTACCTCCAAAACCTGTTGTGTAGAGTTGAGGTGGAGGGATTAAGTTCACAGGGACCACAGGATGTCCAACGAAGAGGTCTTGCCGTCTTGCAAGGTTTTTTCTCCCTCATCCTCTCACTGTCCTGTAGACAGGGGGCAGCATGAGAGTGGTTCCAGGTCTAAAATTCCTGTCCCACTGAAGTCAGCCACAAATTTCTTGACTGTAATGGAGACCGGATTTCATTCAACATTCTTACCTAAAAATAAAGTCTAACTGTAAGAACAGTGACGGTAGTGACAGCAACAATATAGGAACTCTACAGAAAAGACCAAAAACCAACTACAAATCAGCTTTAGCATTGATTTCCCAATTGGGAGAAAATGAATGTAAATTTGTAATTAATTGGTTAAAAAGTGAGATCGCTTTTCCTAAAAAAATTACCTGTACTGCTTTGACAATAACTCAGTAATTTATTTAAGGAGTTGCTGTACTGCTGTCAAAATTGTATCACTTTCAGGACAGAACATCTGTTGCTGGTAGATGGTCTAGGAACGCCAGATATCATCTAGAGTTCATTTTCCAATATAATTCACATTTCATATCCCATGAGAAGTGCTCTTCACCTTTATGAGTTCTCTTGGCTGAACAAACTGGTGCTGGTTTATATTGTTGTTTTGTTTTTAAAAGGGTGGAGAGAACATGCCTGAATATGCTTTTCAAAGAGAATGATAAGATTATCCTCCAAAGCGTTACAAGTAGTTTTGGGTGTTTTCTGGATTATCCTTTCATCCATAGATAGTCAACAGCCTCAGGTCTTTAATCCAACAAAAGCAGCCCAAAGACTAACAAAATTGACTTAGATGCATTTGTCTGAATTTTTTGTTTTCTTCTACTTTTGGAGCCCTGAGAGAAGCTAAACATAAAAAAACATTTTAAATTTGGCTCTTTGGTTTGGAGTATTGCTTTATATGGCCTGAAGCACTGTCAAAGATAGTAATTCAATGCCACTGGTTTCAGTGGTACTTTTCTAGGTATAAACTGACAAACAAGCACAGACCAAGTGGATAAAGGTGCAGGGTTTCTAATGGAAATGTTTCTTCACAAGTTCAAAGATGGTATGTTGTATAGCTAACATACTTGGCAGTACAGTCTATGAAATGCAGTAACAAATTTTCTCCTAGAAGGCTTTATCTATGGAAGCCGGGACGCTGCATGAGTGTGTACATATAAGATGTTGCAGCTTCCAACATCCAGCAAGCACTAACCAGCATTCAAAAATTAACCTCTTTTAAACTGGAAACATTTTGGCTAGCAACTTGATTATGCATTACATCCTCTTTATGCATGTGTACTATAGGGAAACAGAAATGTCAATGAAAATTATTGCAAAAACTTGGGGAGCTTTCCAAAAATGTAGATTAATATAAACTGTGGTAATTTGCCCCTAGATAAGGGGTAAAAGCAACAGTGAGATCAGTGTAACACTTAGGGCTCCTTATCTGGGAGGAGTTTGTGGCCACAGTGCTTATACTCATCATCTGCAGAGGGGTGACATTCACTTGCTGCAAAATTATTTTTTATTTTGGTGAGATCCTGTTCTCTCTGTTCCTTACAAAGTGATTTCTGTTGCAGGAGATGTGGTTTCCTTACTAACCACTTACTTGCTGGCCAGAGGATTTATGTATTACTCCGTGATAAACTGTCCTGGCATATAGTCTCCTGTTTACCAGATGACAACTTCTTTTTCTTTATTTTATCTTTTTAAAAGAAAACTAAGCAGTGACTTAATTAAACTCTGAAGTAACTTTTTATGATAGTTTAAAGACAAAAAATACAGTTTGCTGTATTTTACCTTTAGCACATTTAAACA